ATGAATCATAATGTAAATATCTGATATGCAGGATGGTCTTAGGCGACCCCTGTGAAAGGGTCGTTCGACCGCCAAGGGGGTCGCGACCCACAGATTGAGAACCGCTGTCCACAGCACAGCCCTTAATGGTGGAGTTTCCCACCTCATTCTTAATGTTTTGGCTGGTGATTCGGCTGCGAAAGGATTCACAAGGGAGAGAAGAGACAGGAGCAGAGGGAGGGCGTTTATTTTACTTCTTTAAAGGGAGGAAAGGGCCAGGTGCCCTCTGATGGCACAAGGCACCCCAGACAGAGGGCTGTTCCTTTATTAGGGTGCTAGCGAGTGAATGGCAGCTCTGGCAAAAGCATAAAGAGGGGAGGAGCCTGGAATTCACACAGACGTTTCCCAGCTCCCAGAGGCTGTGCTTAGAGCTATGGGTGGTCTGCCCTTCAGCTGCAGGTGTCCCAGGGAGGGGTCTTTCCCAGGATCTTCACAAGCCGGGAACACATTCTTACAGTGAAGTTACAAGAAATTCAAAAGGCGGGCAGATTGGGGTTGAAACCAGAAACTTTCTGCCTGTGATTTGCCAGGATCTTTAAAACCTCAGTGAGGAGGGGGAGGGAAAGGGCATCCTGCTCTCTCAGCCCCTCCCCGTCTCCCCAACTGAAGGGAGAGGTGGCAGCTTTGCTAGGGGTAGGCTTAGTCAGGAAGGACATCCGGTCTAATTAGCATGTTTTAGTAGTACAGATAAGGAGAAAAACATTAGGATAGAAAACAAGTTAGACCTATTGTTTCCTTTTTGTGATTGTAAATCCTCACCTGGGCAGATTTTTTCCATTAACTTTTGGCAGGAAGGTAGAGGTAAGAAACAGGTAGAGGGAGGGAGAGAGAAAAAGAGAGACATCAATGTAAAAGAGAGACAGAAACACATGGATTGGCTGCCTACCGCATGACCAGGAATCAAACCCTACACCACTGTTCCACACTAACCTATGGGAACTAATTTTCTTACTATTATATCTCTTTACAATTTTTTATGTATCATTAGTGGAAAGCTGTGACTATCATAATGTCCCTGTAGATTTAAGAACAAGAAAAATATACCAACAATGGAGAAATCTGTCCACATTTAAAGTTCAAGGCCACTTGGAAAAGGGTTTACTAGTGACATGACTACACTGCATTACCAACGCCAATACTGTTACCTACAACCTTGAAGGTTGAACACATGAACACATTCACACTCACTCAGCTTTATTAATGAAAATAGGCCCAGCCAGCATGGCTTAGTGGTTAAGCGTTGACCGCACAGTGAAAGGGCGAGGGCTACGCCCTCCATCTTGCCCCGAATCCTCCATTTTTGGGCAGCAGCCATTGGCCATGCGCTCAGCAAGGAGCTTATTCCCGGAAGCCCAAGCCTCTGCTAGCCACACCTAGGATTTCTTTCAACTAACCAATGATAATCAAGGGAAGTGTGCACCATAGATACGACCACATCCTGTGTAACAAGACACCGACTTGCGCCTGGCCAATCGGCAGGGCCCACAGTCCTCTCTCCTCCCCTTACTCCAACCCCCCTATAAAACCCCTCTACCCACAAAGCTTGCTCACTCTCTGACTCTTGCCACTGCGTCGGCGAGTGTGGTAGACG